ATTTAAGTATCAAATGTCATGAGAACTGCGAATTTTGAATAATTGTTTGCTTTGAGAAAAATGTCGCTGATATTTAGTAACCGAGATAATCGCGAAAAAGTTACGCTACTGTTGTATTGAATTCTACTTATATACCTGTGAGCCCGTCGATGTGCCATTGATCTTTACGGGTGATACGTACTCTCCTCGACGAAAGTTGCAGAAGTTCCAGTCAATCGAGGTTGTTTCATATCTTGTCTTGTACTTAGATATACGTAGAAATGAATTTCACCCACAAGGAAAGGTGACGAACCCGGAAATTCAAAAAATTATGAAACTTTGTGTATAAGTAGAGCAAATCAAGTCTAATACATTGCAATTCTTTTCGTGCTGAATTTCTCTTTGACAGGGTGCAACCAACCCTTGAGAAAAATTACAATTTGTCCTTCCAATGGTTTATCTTGAAAGCGGTAAAAGATAGTGAAAAGAAGTTCAAAAAAATATACTGTTCTTTTATTCTATAAAGTTGCAAAATAAAATTTTTCAAAATTTTAATCTTGAAAATGATTGATTTGAAAATTGCAAATAAAATTTTATAAAGAATGTGAAAGTGAAAGAACAATGTATTTTTTGTGTAAACTTTTTCTGGCTATCCCTTATCATTTTCAAGATGATAGGAAAGAAAAATTTCTGGGGATGCTTTCACCCCTTTAAAGTAAAATTTGCCACAAAGAAGTGACATTGTATTAGGTTTGACTTACTATACTTATATACAAAGTTTCATAATTTTTTAAATTTCTGAGTTCCATACCTTTTCCTTATCAGATAACAGAGATCGGTATGAGTTGATCGGTGTACAAGGATGGAAGAAGGCAGTGTATATTGATGCTCCCACGCCCACACTTTTATTTTATAGCAACCAAAAATCCTTCTAGTCGAAGCTTTATTTACTTCTTTTATTTGCAAAATGGAAGAATAATTTTAGTTCTGGTTAAAAAACCTCAAACTATTCTAGTTTTCATAAAAAAACCATCAAATCGAGACTAGATGGATGTTTTCCAATTTTAAAATGAAAGCGTGGAAAAAGCGTAGAAAACTCATACAGATTTCTATTATCTGAGTGAAACTCAGTTCTATATGTACGAAACAAAATATAAAACTGTCGCGATTGTGTAAAAACTTTTGTAAAGAAAACTATCTATATGACATCCGAGAAACGCTTGTGGTAGTCTCACGGATGCGCTCACGGATATATGGAATTCAATGGAACAGTAACAAAAGTTTTCCCCCATCATTTCGGAAACAAAATATCAGCAACAGTTTTTTCAAAGGAAAAACAACAGTTTGTTCAAACTGTGCAATTCTTACAACGTTTGATAGTTATATAAAAATCGGTGAGTTCGTCCATTTGCGGCAGTGTTACCATTTTCTTAATTTCGAGATATTCGTTTTATGCAGATTTTTCTAAATAAAGTTCTGTATATTTGAATATTAATACGCAAGATCATGAAACGAATCGGTTTACGCAACAGAAAAAGCATTTTCGTTAAAAGAATTTTTTAATTGCACTTTCAAAACTCTCATATTATTGTACACATCCACTGGTATTTTCGCATCGAAAATATTGAAGTAAAATAAAGAATATTATTTTAATTAATATAAAATTGTAAATACGTGCAATTAATCCTCGCAAAATAAGAATCTCATGTTATTTAACCATATTAATTCCCACAGAAAAATTGCATAAATTCATTCGTAATCCTTAAATTTAACGATTATAAAAGATGCATAGAAAATTATAATGAATTATAGTTAATTGTCTTCCCCGAAACCAAATAAAAGCAAAAGACAAAAACAATTAACAAATTAAGCGGTACAAACAGGGACTTCTTCGTGAAAGGTTTCATCGCATTACGAGTAAAATGAAAACGCTATTAAACATTGATTTTTTACCACGTATAAAATATTTTCTACAGTGGGAAATGCGAAGTTTCGTTGGAAAATTTCATTCCAGCATTATCGAAATTCGATAAATCCGTAGCACGCGGGCAATAACATCGAAAGCGTCCTACGTGAAAAATACAAGTCAAAAATTTAAAATTAACGATCAATAAACAAATCGAGGTAATTACGGAAAATGTTCGGCGAATATATTTTCCGCGATGAAAAGACTGCCATTAAACGTGAGGACAGCGCATCGATCGCGAAAATTTAATTGCAGTGCCATACATATACAATATATGTATGTATGTATATATAACAAGCGAAAATCCTCGCATACGGTCGTATCAATTTTGCAGGAGCGAGAAACCATTGCCAGCGACACGATATGAGTTTGCTCATCGGTGTAATTGTTCCGTGCTAGTTACGAAAGTTCGTTTCCGTTGTCGGAGACTTGTTGCCAATTAATGAGAAATTAATCTTCTATCGGATAAAAAGTTTTTCGTAACTATTTATTTATAAATAAACAAAACAACGACCCGAAAAATTACAAATGTAATGCAAAAATAAAAGAAATTGTATTTGTCCGTATGATAAAACATATTAAACTTATAATTATTCATAATATATATTCATATCTATATGAAGCATTATAAATATTTTGAATATTATATTATAAACATTCTTGTTGCTATTATTGTATTATAAATATTATCAGTACCACTGTCGAGTACTTCCTTATTTTCTTATTACAATAAACTATTTCTAACCGTAATTATTAATTAATGTAGTTTTAGATACTCGATGATAGTTTCCTCTTTTTGCAATTATTAAAAAGATAAAAGATATTTCTACGAGAAATTATTAAAGAAATTGATGTAGCAATTTACAAACTGAATTGAAAGTCAATTAAAGTCCGAATACATGCATTTTTCGAGTTTCTACAGAGAAATTTTAAAAAGTCAATTTAACTGCTCGGCAGTTATAATCTTAATATACAAATAACACTTTAACAAAACGTTTATATTATTTTACAATAAAAATTAAAAGTTACAATGAATAGTACAAACCATCACTAATAGTTGTACACGGATCGAATGACTGACCGACGAACTGTTTATATGAACGAATTTTCCCGCGGAAATTATGCAGCAATTTAATTAGTTATTTAACATGGGCAAACGCAGGTGTTCAAACGATGTTTCGCGGAAGAGTGTACGCACAGGTTAGCGATGGAAAACTATTTCCCCTGTCTCTGCAGGAATAACATGGTTGAAAATTCGTAATCCAACGCGATTCTGCAGGAGAACGCATCGGGTGCACACAGCCACCGGTGAATCTAGCGCAGTCGATAGCGGAACTCGACGGACCCGGCCTGTTGTTCGCCCGCCAAACGAGCCGCATGAATTTTTATGAGCTTAGGAAATTAATTTGTGTTTTTCGCTAAGCCTCGGCTTAGCGCCGCGGTAATTAATTGCGCTGATTGCTTTGCATCATTAATAAGCGGTTCTCTGGGTTTCGTAACGTTCACC